AACTCATGCCGCAGTGGCTTTAGCTTCTCAGTGCTGTGCTTTAGCCCGCTGCGCCACCAGGGAGGGCCGATGGGGTTCTTTTTTCAAATTTTTATTTATTTGTTTTTGCTATAACTGGGATGTAGACCAGAGATGCGGTGGGGTGAGAGGCTTCACCACAGAGTGGGGAGCAGGACAGGTGGATGGACTGGAATCTACCACTGAGGGGAGCAACGGGGAGACAGGAGAGGTCTGCTGCACCCTGTGGGTCAGCTCCCTGGGCGGGGATCGAACTCGGCAGTAGTGACGGTGGTGAGACTTAACCCCGAGGCCACCAGGGAGGCCCAAGGCGGCTCTTCATTCTCTCCACAAGTATCCGGTGCACTCGATCATACTCAGACACGCAGGCTCCATTTCTGCCACCAGCAAAGCCTCTTCGACATTGTTTCTTGGCGCCGCTCTGGCTGGATGGGGTGCTCTCAGACAGGCCCAGGAATCTGCATTTTTGAATGAGTCCCACTGTAGTTCTATTGGGGGCTGAGGGGAAGCCAGGCCTCCCCAACCCCTGCGAGCAGCTGGGATGTCGCAGTCCAGGAAAGGGGGCTGACTAGGCTGCACCTGTCTCTGCAACAGCAGCTCACACTGCTTCATCTGCCTTGTTCAGGCTAGAACAGGGCCCAACTCCTGGGTCCTCAGGGACCCCTAGGAGGTTGGGACTCTTATGAAGCCCAGTTTCCAGATAAGAAAAATGAGGCGGAGAGAGGTTAAGATGTGGGTCCGGACGAGCCGGGAGGGGCTCAAGCCCGAGCTTTATGGCCACAGGGCCCCAGTTCTCAAGATCACAGGCAGGCCTGAGCCACGCTGAGCTGGGGTTGGGGTGCCTGGGGCCAGCCCTGGGGCTGGAGACCCCCGTGGCTGCTGAGTGCCGGCCCCCTGTCCTGATCCCCAGATGCACCCTGGAAGCCAACAGTGAACGGGACGATGGTGGCCGTAGAGGGGGAGACGGTCTCCATCCTGTGCTCCACACAGAGCTACCCGCTCTCCATCATCACCATCCTCAAAGAGAAGCAGGTGGTGGACACAGCCTTCTACAAGAGCGAGCTACTGCTGGAGCTGCCCAACGTCAAGCCCGAGGACGACGGAGAGTACTGGTGTGTGGCCGAGAATCAGTATGGCCAGCGGGGCACCGCCTTCAACGTGACCGTGGAGTGTGAGTGCCCCCCTCCTGCCCCACCGAGGCCGGCTGTGCCGTGGTCACTGCGTCCCAGCCAAGGGTCAGTTGGGCTCCGGCAGATGAGGGAAAGTGAGGTAGCCGAGCCCACAGCAGGAAAGAAGTCCCACCAGGGGACACTGTCTCAGTATCCTGGGGTGCGCTTTCGATGATGGAAGTTTCTGGATCCGCTGTGCTAAGGAAAGCAGTAGCTAGCACATGTGGCTATCGCTCCGTGCCTGGCACCGGAGGAAGTTCCAGTGGGGAGCCTCTCATCTCAGTTCCCCCCAGCATGCTGTGAGGAACTGTGATGGTGCTGTGGCCATCCCCAGTTTCCAGAGAAGGAAATTGAGGAAGTGGTGATGCCCGGAGCCACACAGCTAGACAAGGGCAGAGCTGAGCTGCAAGTTCAGGCTGTCTGGGCTCTTCCCGGCCTTCTCTGCTGCTCCTTCTTGGCTTCATGCTGTGTTTTGTGGATTGGAATCGTTTGATTAAGCCGTTGTTAAGCGGAAAAGGCAGTGGGAGGTGGGGGAAGGGCCAAAAGATATGGATAGAGAGAGGGGACCCAGGCGGGGAACTGGTGAGCTGTCCTGCGAAGGAGACTCATCTTCAGCTGCTAACCAGCCCTCTCCCCACCTCCTCCATGGGCAGCACCCCCAGCCCCACCGCTCCCCAGGCCTCCCGGCTCCAATCACAGTTCCAACTCCAGCAGCTCCCTCTGGAAGGCCACCTGCATGCTTCCATTTTCCCTGCTAAGAGGTTAGCTCCTAATCGCTGAACTTGACCACTCCCAGCGCCCACCACTGCTCGGACAGCAGTTACTGCCTGTCAAATTTGCCAGAAGGTACTGAGCACAGTCTGTAGTGAACACTCTATACGTGGCCATAATCAGTACACGGTGGAGACAGATTCTTCCCTGAGTGGCATCTTCGGCCGTGGCTCCCTGGCAACAGCCCACGTGACCACGGGTATTTCCACTCTGCTTTCTCCGTACCTGTCGCCCTGGGCCCAGCTGCCCCCGCCACCCCTTCCTCTGTTACACCCCAACTCAGTGCTTCTAAGACTAAGAGTCAGCACCATCTGAGACTCAGAGGAAGCCCTCACACCTGCCTCCTCACAGGCACACACCACTCACAGCTCCGCACACCCCACCCCACCCACACCCACCTCAGACACGCGTACCCCACCCGTCTCATACATTTACAGTTGCAGACCCCCAGATGGGCTGCGGAGGCGACACCCCCCAGAAGGGCCTGCTCTGAGCCGGGATCATGACCTTTCCCAGGGGACACCCAGGGCTTTTGCCGAGCCTCTGGCCACCCTGGAAAGCTCTGAGGAGGAAATGGAGGTCGGAATGCCCCCAGGCTGCCCCGGGACTGTGGGTCTGGGGTTCCTCTGGCCGCCTGCCTGCCCTGCCCCCTTCCACCACCTCCCCCCTCACAGGCCTTGCCACCCAAGGGTGGACTCAGTTAATCTGATTTCTTTTGGAAACCAACATTTGGAGAGCAAGGCCTTCGTGGGCTCGAGGGGAGGCTGGGCCCGGCCCCACCTCCTGAGTGCGGCCTCTCAGAGGCTGCCCGCTGGTGCTCAGGCTCTGGGGGTGCGGCCGCCGCCCTGGGGGCCGCTCTGCCCCCAGCCTGTGTCTGCTGCAGCAGGCTCCAGTGCTCGCTGACAGGCTCCCCGGGCCGCACACGGATCCCGCCCACACACGGAGGCCGCAGGCCCCTCGCCGGCCAGTGCTCACCACGCGCGGGGCCAGCCTGAGCTGTCTGCACGTCTTGGCCTACTTTGCTCTCACACTGACTTGATGGGGGGGGGGGGAGACTGTTCTTCACACCAGTGTCACTGGTGTCCAGCACCCCACCGGGGGGGACTCCCGCTCTGTTTCCATCCAGCCTCATCCCAGACCAGTGGGTTTGACGACAGTATCTTCCCCCAAAGATGGTTGTGGAGACTCAGATTACGTGTCAGCCCCTGGCACAGCCTCCCTGCGGGGGGGATCCTAGATGCCCTCATCTTCCCTCCCGACAGTTTCCCTGAACCCCAACTTGAGCTTGTGCTCACAGGCGCCCTCTGCTGGGAGAGGCCGTGTGCATCTTGTTGCAGCCCTGCGATGGGGGGGGCCGGGGCTTGCACCTGTGTGTGCTGGCGGCCAGGTCTCAGGAGGCCCCAGCCTGTGCCCAGACCGTCACTGACGTTGGCATGGGGAGAACGCCAGCTTGGAGGCCCGGGGAGGCTGAGTGGCCGGCTGGGGGCCCCCCGTCGAGAGACAACCAGGGTTCCCCAGGCCTCCACAGCCTGCAAAGCTGTGACACCATGAGCCGTGTGGCAGGCTGTCCTCGTTCCTGCCGCTTCTGGGACAGACACTGTCCCTGGAGCGCCGGCGGCAAGGCCTGAGTGACAGGACTGGTGAAAAGGAGTTCGCTGTCAGCGGAGGCTGCGTAGTGTGCGGTATGGTGTGTCGGTGCCTTAACACTCCCGCAAGCTGGTGCCTCTCTGTAGACACAGAAGCTGGGTGCACGATTTGCTAGGCTTCGATTTTCATGCCTGTTGAGGTTCAGACCGCAAGCACCTCTGTGAGACGCCCCCTGGCCGCGGGACGCCGCTGCTGTTACCTGCATGTCCTCTTTGGCAGAACTTTAGTGGAAGGAGTGAGGTGGGTGGGCGGGGGTCTTGCCCGTGCGGGGGAGGGTTTTGGAGTTCCGTCACGAGTGAGCAGTTCTGGAACCTGGAGGGAGAGCCATCCCGTTGTAAAAGGCAACATTCAGTGTTCCGTTATGATTTCTGATTTTGGAAATCAGCACGTTTGGAGGGGACATCCGGGGGGGGGGGCAGAATGGAAGTGTCAGCAAAGCAAAGCTTGACAAAAGGATTTGGGAAGAGGGTGATGTTTGCAGGTGGCAATGGGGAGCTGTTTCGGGGGTCCAGGGTGCAGGGGGACTCCAGGCATCTGTGGGACAAACTGGAGCAGGGCTGAGGGGATTCAGGCTCATCCTGTATCTGGGCAGGGTTGCAGCTGTGTGCAGGGCGCGTTTGAAGGGTGCCGGGGCGCGTTTGAAGGGTGCCGGCAGAGAGGAGCAGCGAGAAAGTCTGCCTTCTGCCTTGCTGGAAATAGGGTGTGCGAAGCCTCGGGAGGCAGTGTTGATGCCCACAGCCTCTGACAACAGCCTAGGTACCCCAAAGACAGATGCTCTCACCTCCTCTGGCCACCCCCCACCCCAGGGTCCCTGTGGCTGCTGTGCTTGTGCTCACAGGCGCCCTCTGCTGGGAGCGGTTCTGGGCAGCTGGTGCAGCCCTGGGTGTGCTCGTTCAAGTGGGGAGGGATAATTGCTGGGGGGCACTTTACATGCTGCTTGGCACAAGGGACAAAGTGTGGGTAGTGCCCACAGGGAGTGAGGAAGTGAGCTGGACAGGTGTCAGGGACAGGTTCCGGCCTGAGGGGATGCCATGGCGGGTGGGAAGATGCTCCAGGAGGTGGGAGAGAGGGAGGTAGTCGGGGAGCTGGGCAGGCTGCAGAGACCTCGGGAACGAGCGGGGTGGGAGGGAAAGACGAGGTCCTCGGGT